TTTTTCTTTTTAAAAAATGTATGCTTGTTTTGTTAAAAAATTAATCTTTGGTAATTGTAAGTTTTGTACTTGTAATCTTTCTCTGAGCTCTGGTCATTAGATTCGGTTCACAAAAATTTGGATGTCTTTTTGATATAAATAATGTTAAAACTGTTTTATGCTGTTCTTTATTGATGTGCAGGAGTGTCGGTTACCACCGGGAGGGGCTGGGACTGGACTCCCAAAGAGAAAAGGAGTTGCGGGGAGGAGCACCGAGGTCAGATGATGATCACCAAGGCTGTCGGCTACAATAAGGTAGGTTGTGAAACATGGATACTTATAGAATGTTTCATATTGTTGATTTTTGAATTTTGGCCTCATTGTCTTTGTTAAAATTGTTGACTTGGAGTTTCGGTCTGACAAGAATGTGGTGTGTGGTTCTGGTCTTCTTAGAGATGCAGGCTGTTGAAGTGTGAGTTGGTGGTCGGTCATCCTCAGGGTGCTGGTGTAGATGCAAGTAATTTAGAATGGTGGAGTCTGTCTGGTCAGAGATACCTGGACAGTCCTGGATGCTTCGGAGGTCTGTAGAGGATGGCATTTGAAATGAAAATTTGAAGGGCTTGTATTGTGCGGAGACTCTGGGATTCTGGCAGTGACCCAGGATCTCCACATGGATGGCAGCGATGCTGACCGCTGGGTGGGATGGCCCCCAGTGCAACACCGGCTGCCTGGGTCTGGTCCGGACTGTGGACGGACGGGAGGACCTTGGAGGATTGATTGTACCGCTTTGCCTGGACGGAGTGGGGTCAGTCTTTTGCATGTCCCTCTTCCACAGAGACCAATCACTTTGTGGATCTGGTGAGGCCTGCTGTTCTGATGCTTCTGCCTCGGGTGCTGTGCAGACCTGGGTGTGACTGTGTGTGGGCTGGTCTCTGTCACTTTTCTGTTTTGTCTGGACTTGAGTATAGTTTGTTTGTTCTTCTGGGATCTCTGATTGTATTGATGGCTGGGTCAGCTGTGGTATCAGTTTGGGAGCAAGGGGGATGTCCAGATCCTTGCACGGAGCTGCGGCCAGCTTGTTAGCTCATTATATATAAAGGTCTGAGGATATAAAAGTTCATAAACATTAAAGGTTTAAAAAGTAATTTAAGATAATACTAATAAACAGTAAAAACTATGACTACATGCTGTTTGGGTTGCAGGCTCAGGACTTTCTGTGTTTTTGCTGGGGCTCAAAGGTATGAGTCTATTTTTACTGTTGTATAGATATCTGTTATTTGCTACTTCTATAGTATAGAATTTAATATGGAGGGGGTGCAGAAGGCATCACCGCTCCTACTTGTTATAATTGTGGAAAACCTGGGCACATTCAAAGGGATTGCAAGAAATCCAAAAGCTCAGGACAAAAAAAAAAAAAGTTTACCGGGCATATGTCCTCGGTGCAAAAGGGGAAAACATTGGAGTAGTGAGTGTAAATCAAAATATTATAAAAATGGCTCTCCTCTCACTAAAGAAGGAGAGGAAGAACCTAAAGAGCCAAAAAACTAGAACAGGGATGTTCTAATCACCTCGGGACGAGGGTATGCTTGTGTGTTTCCACAGAATGCTGACTCCCCCATTTGGATCCCAGATCGCCTCATCCGACCTGCTGTTGCAAAACAGAAGAAGGAAAAGACGGTGGCGGAAGCAGAAAAAGCAGCTCCAGCAGCAAATGAAGAAGTCTTCAAAGAGAAGAAACTAGAGCAGCTTTAAGTATAGTAAAAAAGGGGGGGCAAAAGCAAGGGGCCATTTTTATGGGAAAGAAGAGATTTGCATAAAAGCAGTATGCTCTGCAAAGGCTCCTTGTGTCTCTGCTTAGAAAGAGAGAGATTTAAGGAAAAGAAGTCAAAGTCCAGAGAGGAACCACAGGAAGGACTTTGGTAAAAGTTTTCATGTTGTGTGGAAAGTAAGAGAAGGCAGGAGACTGGAATAGTGAAGAGAAGGGAAGGGAAAGAGGAGTTCGTCTAAAGTAAAACGTCTGGCTGGGCCAGAAGAGCAGAGGGTGACAGGAAAAGTCTGACCGAGGGTGTGTGGGAAGTTGTAGAAGGCCAGAGGGGGCGCGAACTGTATTTGCTTTGGTTTCTCATACCTGCAAATACTGAATTTGAAAAGAAACCGTAAAACGTGTTGGAAATTTGACTATGTTAGGTTAATTCTGGTTGGATTTCTTCATTTCAAAAAGAAGCTGGAAGCAAAAATAAATGTGCTGGAGGAAGTAGTGCTCGCTCTTGGTCAGGACATTGCTAATTTAAAAACAACTCTATCGACACGTTGTCATGGTAATTTTAAATCAATCTGTGTCACACCATTACCTTATAATACTTCACAGCCATGGGATAAAGTTAAGGCTCACCTACAGGGATTGTGGCAGGATAACGATATTACTCATGATTTAGCCTCATTACAAAAGGATATTTCTGCTATGAGTCAATCTCATTTACAATTAGGGGGACTGCAAGATTTGGCTTCACAATTGGAACGTGGACTTAAGAGCCTTAATCCCTTAAATTGGGTACAGTACTTTGTATTCATTGGAGTAATTATACTCTTGATAGTATTGGTCATCTTTTTATTCCCCTGTCTCTTAAAGTGCTTATTCTCTTCATTACAGGCAGTGGAACAGGAGGTGTTCGAGCTTCATTTTAAAAATAAAAAAGGGAGACCTGCCACGTCCACAGCAGTGACTGCCGTGTAGTGACAAAATGCCTCTGCGCTGGCTTTTGCCTGCTGAAGGATTGGGGTTAGAGCTTCTTGGAGCGAAGCCCCAGGTGGTCCCCCTGGCAATCAGCAGTCCAGAGAGGACCTGATGCCCTAGGCAAATCTCGTATCTGGAGATGGCCTTGAGAGCGAGCCCTCCTAACACCTTGCCTGATCTTTCTCTGTATTTCTTAACTTTCTTGTTTATAGCTGACCGCTTACCAAGAGATCAAAGTACGTCCTTGGCTCGGCTCCACTGTTCAATAAAGCAGTCCTTGAGGAACTGAAGTATGCCCCACGCCACATGAGCCTGGGAAACTTTATTATTTATGAAACAGAAGCGGCTAAGGTTAATATGTTACGAGGGAATCATCAAGGTGAATCAGATTTAGAGAAGAAAAGGAGAGTTAGAGAAAATTCCCCTTTATGAAAAGATTAGCTAGATCTCAGAAACCCTGGAGTCTTTATAATAAGAAGGAAAGAAAGGAAATTATTGATAACATGAGACTAGTTTTAATATATTGGTATAAGAACTATCATGAGAAAATGAGAAAACTATTAGGAGATATGGAACAAAGAATAAAAACTATATAGATGGAAAGCTAAACACAGGACCCTGAGAACTAGTCACCCACGGTAGAAAGTAAATAATGGTGTGAGACAGAATTCTAAAAGACAAAACAAAACTAAAAGTCCTTGCCAACATCTTGAGCACGGAAGGGGGAACACGTAGAAAGGAGCACGTAGAAGAAGCTCTATTTTGGTTATGCTTAATCTTGATTTATGTCTGGAACCCTGAGTGGGGTGATGTAATGCACCTGCCAAGTTCTTTGATCTGTTTTGTACAAAAACTGAAGCTTTGCAGAAGTAAAATTGCAGCAGATTTTCACTACACAGTGTGTCTGTCTGTCATTTCCCTTGCGTCGTATCCTGGCTATCCTATCCTTCACCCTGGTCTCCCGTGGATGGTGGTCTCCGAGAGGGACGGTCCGCGGCACCATGTCTGCTTGTGCACCGCCATTCCCCCTGCTGGATGATAAGGGCCGGAACCTCTGAACTGGAAGTCACCATCTCAGTTAAATGTTTTCCTTTGTAAGAGTTGCAGTGGTCATGGCGTCTCTTCACAGCAATGGAAACCCTAAGACAAAGAGGAAGAAGAGGAGGAGGAGAGGTTTGGAGAAGAGGTATTTTTTTATTTTTAAGCAGCTAGTCATGGTGGCTCACAGATTTCATCCCAGCGCTGTGTAGGCAGAGGCTGGTGCAGAGACAGGGTAGTATCTGTAAGTTCAAGGCCAGCAAAACAAACAAAACCGTCAGGCTGCTCTCTCAAGCATAATTTCACACCACACACCAATTTTAGCTTTAGTTTTTCTCATTTAAATCCTTTGACTTTGCAGACTTTTTGTTGTCTTCATGTAGAGTCTCCCTTGCTTTCGTAGACCAGGCTGGCCTCAAGCTCACTGGTGTCTAAGCGTGGCCTACAACTCTCAGAAACTCGTCTGCTTCATCCTTCCAAGTGATACGATTACATGTGTGATCACACCCAGCCTTTGAGAAGAGGTCTTGCTATGTAGTGCAGGCTAGCTTCAAGTCTGCGCACTCACCAGAGAACTGAAGATGGCCTTGAACCTCTGACCCTCTTGCCCCCAAGTGCTGGGACTACCAACGTGTGCCATCAGGTCTAGGGCTTTTTCCCTTTTGGTTTGCTCCATGCCCTAGCCCATGGGATGCTGCCACTCACATTCACAGTGGCCTCTCTCTCAGCTAAACTGAGAACACCTTGACAGACATGCCCAAAGGTGTATTTCACTAATGGCCAAGGCATTTTTTTAAATCCAATCAGTTTGGAAATAGAACTTGATTATCACAAGCATATTCAGAGAGCTGGGAATGTAGCTAGGTGGAAGCGGACCTAACATGAGGACCTGGGTTCAGGACCAGTGGAGGAGGAGGATAGATTCTGATGGGCTCCAAGTTTCTCCATCTGTTTGTCTGTCTGTCTGTCTTAGTTAAGGTTTCTATTACTATAGAATACTATACTACTATACACTATAGAAGAGACACCATCACCACTGCAGCTCTTATAAAGGAAAACATTTAACTGAGGTGGCAGCTTACAGTTTCGGGCATTTAGTCCATTATCATCATGGCTGGCAGCATGACGGTGTACAGGCAGACATGGTGCTGGAGAAGTAGCTGAAAGTACTATATCTCGCAAGCAACAGGAAGTCAACTGTGACATTCTTTTCCTTGTAGAACTGCCTAGGAGGGCTGGAGAGATGGCTCAGAGATTAAGAGCATTGCCTGCTCTTCCAAAGGTCCTGAGTTCAGTTCCCAGCAACCACATAGTGGCTCACAACCTTCTGTAATGAGGTCTGGTGCCCTCTTATGGCCTGCAGGCATACAGACAGACAGAATATTGTATACATAATAAATAAATAAATTAATTAATTAATTAAGAAAAAGAACTGCCTAGGAGTGGTTATTAAACCAACGGACAGAGTCAATATTAGGCTGTCTTGAAATCTCTTCTGCCAGTGAAATTAGTTCAAAACTCTTCCTCCTGGATTGGCCTGTGGGCAAGTCTGTGGGGAATTTTCTTGATCAATGATTGACGTAGGAGGGCCCAGCTCACTGTAGGTGGTGCCATCCCAGAGCTGGTGCTTCTGAATACTATAAGGAAACAGGCTGAGTAAGCCACCATGAACAATCCAGTAAGCAACACGCCTCCATGGCCTCTGTATCAGCTCCTCCCTGACTTCACAGGATAATGAACTACAGCTGTAAGATGAAATACACCTTTTCCTCCCCAAGCTGCTTTTGGTCATGGTGTTTTATCTCAGCAATAGAGAAGTAGCTAAGACAATTAGTAAAGTTGAATGTTGGGTTCTCCAGGAAATTGTGCTTCATGTTGGGCAATCCACACAGAATGGACACTAGTCAAACTGCTAGTCACTGCCTCGTGACTTCTTACACTACTCTTTTTTTTTTTTTTTTTTTTTTTTTTTTTTTTTTTTTTTTTTTTTGGTCTCTGGTCCATGAGGATGGTAGTCTTACCTACTTTTAGGTTTAGGTGAAAAGAAGACAGGACTATTTTCATAAGGGAGCCGTTTTGTGACAGGACTGGCTAGTTCCTAGTCTGGTTTGAGACAGTTTTCCAGGAAGAACATGATGGAGCTATATACAATGTAAGCTATTCTGCTTCTCCGTTTGTTTTAAATTTTTTGAGACAGGGTTTCTCTGTGTAACCCTGGAAGTCCTGGAACTCACTCTATATACCAAGCTGGTATTGAACTCAGAGAGAGATTCATGTTGTGGAACAATCTTTGTACACTGTAAATATGTATTACTCTTATTGGTTAATAAAGAGATGACTGACCTATAGCTAGGCAGAAAGAGTTTGGGTGAGAAAGCCAGACTAGAAAGATGCTGGGAAGAGGAAGGGTGGAGTCTCAGGAGTCCTGAGCCAGATGCAGAGGAAGCAGGACATGTAGAAAATGAGGTAACACCTGGCAGTGGTGGCACATGCCTTTAATCCCAGCACTCAGGAGGCAGAGGCAGGCGGATCTCTGTGAGTTTGAGGCCAGCCTGATCTACAAGAGCTAGTTCCAGGACAGGCTCCAAAGCTAGAGAGAAACCCTGTCTCGAAAAACAAAAAACAAAACAAAAGAAAACAAAATGAGATAATAAGTCATGAGCCACGTGGTAGAATTTAGGTAAGAAATATGGGTTAATTTAGGTTGTAAGAGTTAGTAGCAAGCCTAAGCTATTGGACAAGCCTTTATAATTAATATTAAGTCTCTGTGTGGTTATTTTGGAGCTGCTAGCAGGACAGAGCTGACCAGTGGTCCTGACAAAAAAACGTCTGCCTACAGATTCACCTGCTATACAGTCCCGGCTGTCTACCATGAGATGGTTTTCCAGTCGGGCAAGGGGCTGAAACACACACACACACACACACAAAACATGGGTCATCCTTGAAACAAGAATGTCAATTTTATTGTGTTCCAGGGCAGCTTATATAGGGCTCTCCTTGACTAATGGCCACGCCCTAGCTCTCATGACTTATCAGCTGCAAGCCTACCAGAAACCTCTCCCTGCCATCATTACTCATAAGGGCCTCATACCCAGAGCAGCTGCAAGCATAGGAAAACAAGTTGTTAACTCCGATAGGCAAGGGGTCACAGAAGATTTGGAGTCTGAGCATCTGCAGTCCCCAACAACCTGCCTTTGCCTCCAGAGTGCTGGAATTAAAGGCATGCAATGACCAATACTACCACCACCACCCAGCTGTGTTTAGTTATTTTGATATAACATAACGTCAAGGAACACTAGCTATGATCTCTTCTAACTCCATCTTTCCTAAGGCCCAAAGGAGCAAATGTAAATAGCCCAAGTGGCCCCCCCCCCTCCCAGAAGAAACAAAGTAAATATCCTTGAGTCAGACAGACCATGAGTCAGGGCAGAGAGCTGAATGTTCCACGGTAGCATTTGCCAGGGGGCTCAGATAGTCTAGAAAGAGGAAACACTCAGTCTAGAAAGAGGAAACACTCTGTTCAAAGAGGGAGGAGACAGGAGAGGTCCAGCTGCACAAAGGAGGGGGTTGGAAGGAGGCAAGAGGCGACTCTGGCAGGGTGGAACTGGAACACCTGGTGTTAACACAGGAGGGAGGAGAAACGTCGGCGGGATGGGGGAGGGGCTGTCCTCCTGCTAGCCAGTGCCCGCCCCCTCCTTAGTATCACTTTGTCTGACCTGAAGGAGGCCATGGCTTAATCTTAGTAGACACTAACTTCAGACACAGGCTTCAATGCACTTTTATTACCATTAGCATTGCTACAAACTGAGACAAGATGTCAGCAGCTGCATCTGCGTAGGCTTTTATAGCTCAGGAAGGCAGCCTGGGCAGTGTCCCGGAAGTGGCTGACGCCTGTGATTCCTTCAAGCTCTCCTGTCAGCTCAGCTCTTCCTTTCAGTGCTCAGTAAGACTCTCCCAAAAAATAAGGCCATACACAGGTCTAAGTCATTCCAGTCCCATTTCTATGTGTGTGACGTTATTCTAACTGTTCAATTGATTGATTCATTTATCTTTCCCAGAAACTT